TTTAGTGGAAATTTACAAGTTATTTTATCATTGGAAGCTTTTGCAGAATTGTTTTATAACCAGTTTTGTACTTTTATAATTCCTAATGACGCAGTCAATAATTGAACACACACAATCTGGTTTCTGTTTGTAATTTCAGTGAAAAATTATCAAAATTTTAAAAATCAAATTTAATATTTTAATTGGTTTTCAAATAGACTGCTTGAAATTTATTTGTTGTAGAAAGGAAAATGGAAAAAATTTTGACAAATGTACACTTTTATTATAAAATTAATGCAATTTTTAAAATTTCAATAAAATTACTTACTAACATTTTGTAAAAATACTAAAAATTTGTAGTAGAATTTGACACCTGCGATTTTTTTTTATTCATTCTCACGATAATGTCCAATTTAAACATTTGCATATGCTTAAAATTTTGATCTTTTTTATACTAGTTCAATCAGTGTGAAAAATTAAATATGTTCTCTTAAAACATTAATTAACGAGATGGAGAATGATTTAAATATATAATTTTTATCATAATAATCTCCTTTTATTTTCGGCTTGTCTAAGTAATTTGTCATCCTAAAAGCACGTCACATTATCAGACATGGCTTTGTTTGCAATTCCCCCTCGATTTCACGTATATATGCCTGCACCTAGGAGGCTGTTTTTCCGCATTAACAACGCGACAGGTGCGTATGTATGCATGTAAAGTGTGTGCGTTAATGCCCACGTAACTTGACAAGGGAGACACGCAGCGGGCCAAAAGGATTAAGAACTGGTGCACGTAACGCGCAATGTGTCTCGGCCAAGGTTCGGAGCAGAAATTAGTCGCATAATATGGTGTTGGTCGTGTCGGGGTCGCGCAGCCTTTCAATTATTCACCCAGCGGGAGCGAGACCGTCTATAATTTATTCATTCATTTATTCGCGCGCGCACGCGGTCGGTCAACAAAACAACTCGGGGTCCCCGATCCAATTATAACTCTCGGACCGAACGGTTTTCGCTCTTGTCGGTTTTGTGCGCTGATTGGAGCTGCTTCTGCGAAGCGATATGTACGAAATGTCCGCGTTTTGTAACGATCATGGCACAGTCACGCGCCTGCAAAATCTTTTCAGCCAATTGAGGGGAAAATCGGATTGGAGCACCGACAAAGCCATTTGCGTTTTCCGCCCGCCAGATTTCTCTCGACGAAAGGACCACCCGAATTTAATGGAACCGTCGGCTATTGTTTGGATTATGCGAAGGAAAATTAATGTGGATTTTCAGTTGGGACACGATTTTTAGACCATCTCTGCGGTGGAAATTTAAAGGGAAATTTTGTCAAGAAGCAAAAAAAGATTATTTTAGCGCTGGTGTTGCGTATAAATAATTAATGCAAAAAATTGAGGAGGTTTTTTATTTTCTCTTTTCCAATGAGTAGAAAAAATTGAAGCAGTCAAAAATAATTTTGACAAATAACAAATTAATGAATTAATTTTTTATTAATGGTCATTAACGCCTGTTTTATTCCACTGGGAGTTTTTTATTTCACAATTAATTTAACCACATAAAAATGATGGAGCTGCAAAAGTATAATATATGGAATTTATTTTATTTATTTTACCTGTTCATATTCAAACTTAATGTTAAATCAATGATTTTTTCAACAATAATTCGAATATTCATATTTAAAAAGTAATAAAATTTCAAAATCTGCTTACATGAAAATTGTAAGGAATCATTGTGATTGAGTTGGATTGTGAATTGAACGTTTTATACCATCAAAATTAAATGATCAGTGTTTAATTTCTGCCTTATTTGTTAATAATTCATTATTCATTTTGTTATTTGATAAAATTTGCGGAATATTGATAAATATTATAGGACGTCGTAAAGTGATTTTTTCGCAGCAATACATGAGTTTTAATCGAATAACTGTAAATTTTTTTATAGTCGATTTAAAACAAATTAATCTTTCTTTCAAAACGAAATAATTTTTAATACCCGTGACTTATTCGGCTCAAAACTTCTCGTTATTTCATAATTGAAAATTATATATTTTTTTAATTTTTGTAAATACGTTGGATATCAAGAAAGTAATTTATCCTAGCGTATTTAAAAGTTATAGGAGCATGAATATAGAATTAATCTTTAGGTGAAGTACGTTTTTTCCTTTGATGTGTTTTATAGTAAATGATGCTTTCTAAACTATAGATTTTTAATTAAATTGGACGAAAATTTATCGATCGAGTCGGAGAAAAGTGCTTGGATGTGGCAAATTGGCAAAAGAGCTTGAGAGAGGCTCTCTTTCTCTCCGTCGCCATCAAATTAAGCAAAATCAAAAGCGGCCGGCTGGAGAGGCGAGTGTGCGCAGACCGATGCTCCCTTTGGCCCTTTGACATTCCCATTTATTTTGCCTGAGGTGGCAAAAAGTCGAATTACATTCAATTTAAAACCCATCCATCCATCCATCTCTATCCGTTCTTTCTTTCATGTGCGCGGATCTTTTGTCTCTCCATCGCAAATATATCCCTTTTCTCTCTCTCCCTGCTGCGCGTGATCATCAAGCGTGTTTCTCTCATAAAAAAACCACCCTTTCATAGTGCATAAGCAGAGCCTTTCCGTGTTGGGCGAAGTGGGCTGCAAACATGAAGCACGAATTCCGCCCGTCAGGGAGTTGCATTTTATTTACAATTACCCCCGAGTGACGTCGGCAAGGAATGCTTTTACCTGCTGCTTTTGATGCTCCGCAGAATGCCCTGCGGTTTCACATGTCGTAATTTAATTCCTCGGTGCTCCGCGCACGTGTGTCCCGATTCTTTTTTTATGCCCATAAACACATAACGACACAGGAAGCTCAAAGAGTGCAACAAATGTTGTTAATCAACTTGCAACTCGGTTACTTCTGCAAACTTTATATTTAGTTAAATTACAAAACAAAAGTAAAATGGATCAACTTAAGACTTTTGCAGAGAGAATGAGAAAATTATATTAAAAAGTATAATTTAATGATAGCAAAGTATACAAAAAAGTGTGATTGAAATGGGACAAAGTTTGTTAAAAATTAATTAATCGAACTTATTGTTAAGACATTTATTTTTCAACAGTACAATGTACTTTTTTTATTCACTCGCACAAGGGTACAGTTGATAAATTAATTGAAATAATAAATTAGAGATTCTCAAAGTTCAATTGAAACAAATTATAATCAAGTATGTTTTCCAGCGCACAACGTATTGCCCTAATTTTTCATTCTAAAAATTTCACATCAACAGGATTGTCTGAAAATCTGTCCGGGCATCATATTAATTTTTGCAAGCAAATGAGTTTGAGACTCCTTCACCTTTACTTCACCTGTGCTTCAGAGAGCATCACCCCATAATAGAAAGAATTTGCATCAATAATTTAAAAAAAAAAATCCTTCCCATTCAAATTAATAAAACCGTTCTTATTTAAACGGCGCTTATTTTAGTGATTTTTTCCCATTTTCCAGTTGGGGAATTCTAGAGATTGAAAAAGACCACCAGAGAGAATTTTTTTTTTTTTTGTGTGCTAACAAGTCGCTCACGCAGAGCAAAAGCTTGTGCTGCAAAGTCAAACAGAGTGGCAGTAAAATTTGTCTTGGCACCAACTTCAGTGAATTTTGCTCTTTTTCCTCCTTCTGTGCGCGCGCTCTAACAAAAGGTGCACCATTGAAATGGGCAAGTTTTATAACTCTCGGCAGAGTATTTTTAGCGGGCGGGCACAGCAGTCCGTTCAAGCGTTCACTATATGACTAGTTTTATTACCGCGCAGACAGTTTTTCCAGGAATAGTTGTAATGGAAAAAAAAGCGTTGGAAGAAAATAGGCGCGTTTTTCGGCGTCTAATCTTATTAATGAAATAAAAAGCCAAGAGGAGAGAAAGGAGCTCGCAGGCGACCCAGTTTGATAAGGTGATAAAAACCCAGATTTTTTTATGTTAATCGATAGTGATGATGATGACGAATGAGGATGATTGATTTTACAGAAATAATAAAGGGTCATTTATTATATTTAATAACAGATATAAATAATAATATTTTATGAAAATGAAAAATTTTAGTTTTATATTTTATAGTTAAATAATTATGGTAAAATAAACAATATTATTTTATTTAAACTGTTAAAAAGTAAAAAATAAATCATTTAACATAAAAATGGCCCCAAGGAAAAGCAATGTCGACGTCAAAATGGAAAAAGAAGATGCAAATTTATCAATAAATAGATTCAAAATAGTTGATTTGTTAACAATCTAACGATGGATATAATGAAGTTATATCATTTTTCATTTATAATTCCAGTGATTACCATCTGAATAATTATATTTTGTTACAACGAGACTTCGCACTGATAAGTGTGAATAGAAAAACTCCTTGATTGCATTTAAAAAGCAATAATTTTAAACACAATGATACAAAGAACCAAGATCAATGCAAAGTAAATGCCCGTTACAAAATATACAAAAATATAAAATTTAATAATTATAAATAGTCTTGAAAATATATCGAATTGCTAAAAAAATTTCTCTCCTTTTTTCCAAACAGAAACATTTATTTAGTCTAAAATATTAAAAATATTTTGAAAAAGTGGTGAAAATAACAAGAATTATTTTTCAGATACTTTTAATCTTTCCGTTGCGATTTTTGCGTAATTTAATTTTGCTTTATTTTCCTTATTTTAGAATTGTGGCTGGGCCAAATTTGGCCTGTGTTTAATTCAAATCATGATATTATTAATTAAGGCCATTTTAATGTCTCTGATTAACATAAGATCCAAAAAATGAGCATTAATTAATTTTTATCAAGAACCTTTTTGCACATTTTATGCAAAAGAAAAATTGTTCTTCCGCAAAGAACGAAACAAATTTAAAAGTAAAATGTGCCCGCGGGTCATTGTATGCAGCGTCGAGTTTCCGAATTCAATGCGTCACTGTCAGACAGCGCTTTCAATTTGCATATTTCGTTGGTGCTTTGAAAAAATGTATGTATAAATAAAAGAAACTTGGCAGACTCACCCTTCCGGAGTTGTCGTAGGTGTTAACGTCAGAGGGCTGCAGCTGGAGGCCGTTGGCGCCGGTCATGAGGTCCTGCAGGGCGGCCTCGTCGCCCTCGCGGCAACACCGGACGAGCGAGATGGCGGCCGCCGAGGTGGCCGCGAAGCAACCGCCCCCATTGGAGGCAGTCGGCGGCGGCCCCACTGTCGGCGGCAGTTTTTTCGCGTCGATGGCAGCGATGCTCGAAAAGCGGCGGAGGCCGTTCGCCTGCTGCACGACGCCCGAAAATACCTTGTTGTTGGCGTTGCTCAGCTGCAAGATGTGGTTGTTGATGTTGTTGTTGAACGAGCAGTGCACGCTCGAGAAGCGTCTGCGGAGCAAATCAGCAACGCTGAGGTTTTAAATGTTGTATGTTCGAATTTACCATTTATTTGTTTTGAGTTGGGAAACGGAAAATAAATTATAAAACTTCAATTGAAAAAAAAAATAACAATTAAAATCATAAAACTTTTGACTTTTGACGTTCAATTGTGAGCTATTTAATTTAATATATAAACAATTTGGTACTATAAACGGTCTAAAATTAATAAATCAATTAGATCATTACTTATTTTGATTAACATTAATTAATAGCTTCATGAAGAAAAAAGAATAAATATTCTTTCAGTCATTATATTATTCATTTATTTATATATTTTTTTTTAAACAAAAACTACGCATTTAATTGTAAAATTAATTTAAATATTGTCAAATAAATTTTACAATGTAAGGCAATTATGTTTTTTGATTAAAAACAGAACACTAAAATTATATATAAAAAAAAGTATTAAAAAACATTAATATATATTTTTGAGAATAAACAGCATAAATAAAGATTGAGCAAGTACACAAAATCTATGAGACTTGCCTTATAAAAATTTGGTCACACAATTTCCAAAGTAAATTTTAGTAAATTTGATCTTTCCGCAGAGCTGCGCGCCGTCAGAACCGCTGGCGCGTTTTATCAATCAAAACCCCGCAAGAGAGATGCGCTGTTCTCAATTACTGTTTCGCAGTCTAGTCATGTCATGAGCTGATTTGTGAACGTGATCATGTTTCTGAGTTAATTGAAAACACCGGGATGGGAAATGCGTAGGAAGCAGTGTCATTGCGATATAAACTTTTTTATTTATTATAATTGATTTTTTCCACGGTCTCATGTTCTTGGTCTAACAATAAACCGTGTAAACTTTAAAATAAAATCAAAATGTTATCACTACTGGGAAATTAATAGAAAAAATAATTAATTCTACAATATGAAATATGGATTGGAACAATTAACTTTTAAATTTGCTGAGTACCAGTTGAAATTCCATTTTTCCTCAACGGATTATTTTGAGTCCTCTAAATATTTCGAAGAAAACAATAATCGACTCAAAATACCCAACGCGGAAAAGCCAAATTTAAATTCTAGCACCACAAGTCAACCAATTATGGTGCAAAACATTATAATAATTTCATTTTCATTTGAAATAGTAATTAAAATTTTTGCAAACTTAAAAAGTAGCCTCTGAATTTAATGAGCTTTTCTTTCAACCGAGATGTTTCCTTGTGCTCATCACTGTAATTACGAAAAGATTTTTAGCGCTAAATATTTGATGAAATATTTCTTTTCAATTGAGTTTTAAAATATTTACGAGGAGGCGAGACAAACCTGTTGACGGCGATCTTAATCCTGAAGCTCTCCTTGTTGGCGTTGTGGCGGCGACTCCTGAGCCAGTTGGACACTCCGGCGATGTCGGAGACACTGTTGGCGCCGGCCTGCTGCTGCTGCTGCTGCTGCGTGCCGCCTCCGTTGTGCTGCTGGTTGCCTAGTTCGCCGGCCGCCCCACCGGTGGTGCCACACGAAAGGTCGAACGTGACTCGGCGCGGCGGCCGCGAAGGCAGCACCGCCGCAGCGGCCGCTGCCGCCGCCGCCGACACGGCCCCCGGGGGCGTCGTCAGGCTGCGCGTGTACACCCTGCGAGGGGCGACGGGCGCCACCTTCAGTGGGGTGCGCGGCAGGAACATTTCCGAGGGGCTCTTGTGCGCCGGGTACAAAATCTGCAACTTGAAAATTACATAACAATGTAACAATCGTGATTCAGAGAGTAAACTTGAATTTTAATTAACAATAAGTTAAATAAGATCTCAAACATAATAACGATACTATAGTCATCAAGCTATGATTGTTTAAAATTAAATTACACATTTTAAAATAAAGTCAAGGAATATTTAAAATAATTATTTAAATGAATTTGTTTATTTTACATTTAAACGGCTTTAGTTGAATCATATTTTTAAAGTAACATAATATAAAGAAAATAAATATAAATATATTCAATAATTTGAATATAAAATCAATTAATTTAAACAAATGAAATATTATCTGAAAAATGCAATAAAATGTTACAAATTATTGCTATAAAAATATTTGAACCGTTTTTTATTTAATTTTGATTATCAAATTGACAAGCCTCCTTAAAATTAATAATGGTTCCACACTTTCAAATTCCGTTTTATACCTCTTGAGATAAGTTGCGACAGTTGCGTTGTAGTGAGATTATTTGTGGCTTTTCAAAAATTTTAATTACTCTTTTATCAACTTCGGTAAGCCACAGGCGCTGCTTATTATGGTTTAAGACGATTTCCTCTTTTTATCTTTGAGTTCTTTTAATGCGTCGTTCACAATTCTGACTTCAAATTTTCCAGGATGTTATGCAAACTTTTACTTGATCTAGAAAATATTGTGCTAGGTGCGTGCTTTGTCGCATTAATGGTCCGCACAAGTCACATAATGTACTTTCACGGGTATTAACCTTGCGTAAGGGGCTTTCACTTATGTGTTGTGCTTTTGCTCTGTTTCATTTTCGTGATCGCAGCCAGAGAGTCTTTCCCTGAACACTCGTCCAGGAAGCAGCTGCTTTGCATCTGCAATTATGCAAATATCGAAAAAGCCACTTGTCGATTCCATTTAGCGGCCGACTCATTTTGCATTATTCATTCTCGGACACGTCTTCTCTTTCTCGAGGAGAAAATTCCTCGCACAGTTAAACGGGTCAAGAGGTCAAGTGAGTGGTCATCATGAAAACGACACTCTCGCTTGGAATTTATCCAAAAGCAAGCAATATCCTCGAAATAATCTTCAATATTTTCCTTTGATCATTTTGTGGTTTTAAATTTAAATTTAATTATTCAATATGAACTGAAAATGATAAAATAATTTGCATACAAAATTGCTGCTAACTTTCTTCTAATAAAATCAAAATCTGATCTCTCTCTTAATACTTTCATTTTTAGTTTTCAACTTTTGATGGCATCATCGCGTGGATCATCACTTACAATTAGAGGGATAAGCTAGCAAATTAAAATGATGATTTTTCAAATTAAGTATTAAGTTGCACAAGAAAAAGATAAAAAAGAGAGCTCTTCATATTAAATAAAGAGCACAGGTCAACAAAACCCAAAAAATTAATAAAAAATAGTTATTAAAATTTTACAAATCGTAAATTAATAATAAAGAAAAAGTTATTCAAATCATTTTTGTTCTATTTTGTATTTGGAAAGTTATGCAACGCGTCAATGTAGAGCCAATTTCCATGTTAAGCTTTCAACGTACAAAAGGAGCACAGGCTGGGCTTATGTATTGCAAAAGCCCGAGCTAAATCAAATCTGAGAATTCCACTTTCCCTGATGGTTGTACGTATTATTCAATTACAAATAATTCAGAGCACACGCGATTCTGAGAACGCTGTTTGTATGTATTTGCAGCTCATCCTTTGTGACAAAGTCACTCAACAATGAGTTTAGCAGAAACGCTTCGGGATTTGAAAAGTTCGTGGAATACGCGCAAGTCTGGTCTCAAAGCGGAACGACCTAATGAAAATTACGCAGTATAATATGTTTCCAAACTAAATCAGTCGAGAGGCAGCGTTAATCAAGCTGTTGGTGTGCCGAGAAGGTGTATTAGAAATTGCGCCTTTGAGCTAGGCCAGTGACGTCAACGTACGCAAAATAATCGCATTCATAATTAAGGCAGGCGTGCGAAACGAATTTAGAAAAGTCGCTATCTATAAGCGAGACGAGCGCGCGTTGTGTTGTTATTTTTGACCAGCGACCTGCTCAAATATTGACATTCACGCCTCTTGAAATTTTTAAAGGCAAGATAAACTTTTATGCAATCAGTAAACCAAAAAGTTGAAAACTTTGTAATTAAAAAACGAGATATGACACCTTTCAAGCCAAAGCACAGGTCGGTTGGCAAGGGGTCGTGGATTTATTTGCAAAAAATCAGGTGAAAAGAACACAAAATTTGACGGATTTTGGCGTGGAAAAAACTCGGAAAAGTCAAAAGCTTTCCCGGAAAAACGCTACTGTAGTTTCAACTTAAAAATGGAATATCTCGGGTTCTAATTGAGATACAGAAATGCGGCTAGCACCAAAAATTTTCTTTTTACCTCCTCTTCAATCCTGAGGGGTCAAATAATCCAGAGGTCAAAGGTCAAGGTCATTTTTCAGGGGTCACAAGTACAAAAAAAATTCTAGCAAAAATATGCCACCTTTGATTGGGCTGAAATTTTTTTCTAAGATAGTCCTAACATGTAGGGACAACATATTAAAAATTCAGAATGGCATATTTTTTAGTTATTTTATAAAAAAATCACAAAGGTAAAAAAACGTGAATTTTTTGTATTTTGCCAATGGTCGGATATTGATTTTTGGAATTTTTAAGAAATTTTTTGAAAATTTAGGAATTTTTTGTCAATAAACAAATAAATTTACCCATTTTAGAAACGTACTTTCTCAAAATAAATTTTTGATCATGAGCAAAATGCGAAAAATTCACGTTTTTTTACCTTTGTGATTTTTTTATAAAAAATCTAAAAAATATGCCATTCTGAATTTTTAATATGTTGTTTCTACATGTTAGGACTATCTTAGAAAAAAATTTCAGCCCAATCGAAGGTGGCATATTTTTGCTAGAATTTTTTTTGTACGTGTGACCCCTGAAAAATGACCTTGACCTTTGACCTCTGGATTATTTGACCCCTCAAGATTGAAGAGGAGGTAAAAAGAAAATTTTTGGTGCTAGCCGCATTTCTGTATCTCAATTAGAACCCGAGATATTCCATTTTTAAGTTGAAACTACAGTAGCGTTTTTCCGGGAAAGCTTTTGACTTTTCCGAGTTTTTTCCACGCCAAAATCCGTCAAATTTTGTGTTCTTTTCACCTGATTTTTTGCAAATAAATCCACGACCCCTTGCCAACCGACCTGTGCTTTGGCTTGAAAGGTGTCATATAGAAATTGTTATTTTTAAATTGACGAACGTACATGACCGAATTCCCATTGCCATATCAATAAAAAAACTTTTTACAAATAGTCTGATGGTAATTTTTAGATTCATAAAAACTCAAATTGTGAATGCATTCAAATTGAAAATAAAAAATTTGAAAAAACTCAAATATATTTTACAATCATTTTCAATTTTATTTTAATTATTATATGGTACAAAACGCTTTTGATTTTGAATGTTCAAAAAGAATTGGAGGAAACAAATTTAATAATCTTGAATAATTTTTGAAGTTAAAAATTGATTTAAAAATTGCGCTATCAATCGTTTTATTGCACAGTAATGATCAAAGTTGATATTCACCTTGAAAGTGCGACAGTGAAAAAATAGTTTCGCTCTGTGTCAAGTGGTCATTAGCCCCGTTCTGTCGACACTTTTGCCGCCAAGCTCAGGCGCGCACGCTATTATACGCGCAGCCATTTAATAATTCGCAAGTAATGAGGCCGCTTGATTTATGTGTGCGGGGTGAGCCGGAATCGATTTGGTGGGCGGCCTTTATCAGGCAATGGACACCTGTTCTTTCAGGAGTGCTAGGCTTGAATTGGCGCCTGGTACCTGGAGGCGCCGCCGCCAAACGCCGCAGTGTACGTGCAAGCCGAGTGCCTCTTTTATACGAGACGAGCAACCCGCGACGCTCTGCCAAGAGCCATTCAGCCGGACACCTATACTTTTCGCCCAACTTAAAAGCGGCTTCTCTTTTGTCTATCGTGTTTAATTAAATGTTCTACGAACTTTTTCCCATTACAAAATGCTTTTTTTATTCATCTTTTTTTTATAATAAAAATAGCAAAGTGGTTTGTTATTTCAGTAATTTCGTTGACTTATATTGTTATAAAATAGAATTCCCGACGGGCACGACCTTTCTTGTTTCAAGATAGGCATATTTTCCATCACGCACGGCGAGCAGGTTGCATAAGTTCTTCTGGTCAAGAGAACAAAGCTTGCTTCTAAAATTGTAAACAAATAGAATAGGCAATAAATCTGTATGAAATTTATAAAAATATGAATTTTAAATTTAATTATTAAATCAAGATTGTATGAAATATTCCAAAATTATAGAGACTTTTAATCATTTCCTTACGATTATGAAATAATTTGAAATAAATTTGCAACTAAAAAAATATTTGATCTAGAAATCATTAACATCTTTTTGTTAGAGATCCTTCAAAACTATTAAACTGGCTGAAAAGGTTTTTTTTAGTGTAATTTAAAATGTTTGAGATGTTAAAAAGTTTAATAACCCCCTCAACAAAATTGCAGTTTTTTTTTGCCAGTCCTTAATCGTTTTATTTCAATGTCATTCCATTTTTAAGCTTGCCAGGCAATCAACTTTTAATGGCCGTTTCCAGAAAGTTTTTGTTTTAAAATTGTCCTGACAGGCAGCTGTTCTCGGCGTATGGCCCGTTGTGCTGTTAACTTGTAAAATAAGCGCGGCACATGCACATTTCGCACGTCAATCTAGATATGTTAATGCGTCGTCTGGCCGTAGCGTTTCGCAGCGATGCAAATCATAAAGTTTTATGAATCGCTCACATATCAGGCGCGGGGATTAATTTGCGCCGCTAAAGTTTGGAATTATTATATGGCGCCCTCTCGTTCGTCAGACACGCAAGTTTCAAAATGATTCGCATGATAGAAAATTGTGCAATTCTTTTACGATGTATTTGAACTCATTAGAAGTTTCGACCTTTGGCGTTTGTCCTGAGGGTCGCGTTGCCTCGGAGACGCGAAACGTTGAAATATAATGGTTGCTCATTAGTCAAGTGTCTATTTGCATTGAAAATTGATACCACGAGTGTCTTTTTAAAGTTGAGTCCGACGACGATCAGCTCACGCAAAAGTCAATACACCCCACAAAAATTTATGAAATGAGAGTTTAGTAAAAGTAAAAACTCTAAAATTTAATGATAAGGATGTAGAATATTCATTTTATGAGTATTAATTAAGTTTAAAATATGATTAAAATAATTAAATTTTCAATCCAATTGAATTTAATTTGTTTAACACTCCTTAATTATTAACTAATTGAAAAAAATTGTTATGTTCAATTTGAATACGACATGATTTTTAAGTTGTCATTGAGTTTATTTTATGGCTGAAACAAATTAACTTCAAATTTCAAAATTTGATTTTAATAAGAAGTGCCACTAACATAAAAAAACAATATTTTCTTATATTTTGAATGAATATTGACAAAAAATACCTCCAAAACTGGATATTTTTATGTTTAATCCAAACTTTTAACAAGACAGAAGCGCGTCTTCTTTACTTTAACATACCATTAATGCTAACAATGGCTCAGCATGCAAAGTAAAGAATTAACGACTCGGATGCAAACTTTTCAAACTGGGGCACACAAAGTCCAATTCTCCTTTTGCGCCGTTTTATTTATTCTTCCCCCTTCTTTTTCAAATTATATAACTATAGTTATAACCGCGGAAGTCGTCGATTTAAATGGGGAGAGGATTTGTGAGTAATGATATTGCATGCACGGCCGTATTACTACATTTTTGTATTTTTTATCCACGTGACATTCAACACACGGAAAATTCACAGCAAAAAATCAATTTCAGTCAGAAAAAGCAGCTGCGACAATATTTGTACAAAAAGGAAGGATTTTACTCTGGCCAAGGACGAAGCGACAACTTGTTTTCGGGTGGAAACTTTTGATTGATATGGAAGAAAAGATGTGTATATGCGTGTCTGCTGGAAAAAAAGAGCAATATTTCGAGCACGCACCTCTCAGCCTCTTGTGCAAATGCGCGTGTTGGGAAACTCCTTGGCCGCTGCTTTGAGACCAAAACATGATATTATATGTGATGGTCCCGCGTGCGACCTCGGCACAACCGCGCCTGTAATGGATGGAAAATCAAGTCTGCGACGGATCAAACTCAATTTACTGCCGAGGTGAACACAGTACTTGATTAAAATTGGCTTTTAGCATTCTGGAATTATTAATTGCGCGTCTATTAAGTGTTTTAAGAAGAAATAGAGTCCTCTGGGGAAAATGTAATATTAGATCATAATAGATAGACGAGTTGTTTTCAAAACAAAGGGATGAAAAAGGGTTGACCTAGTTGCAGCGCGGATTCTTTTACTTGATTTTCCCTAAAAAAAAAGGGGGAAATAGCTGAACTGACAATGAAGATATAAGAGAGAAATAAGAATTATGAATTTAAAATGTACTTTCGATCTTGAGATAAAAAAAAAATGCATCTAAGAAACTTTTGACGCTTCAATGGATGTCAAATAATGTCAAAAATTTCCACATGTTTAAAATAATAGATATTACTATTACGGTTATTATTGTAGAAAAAATTCAGCTCTTCTAAATTAATTATTTTATATGTTTTGCTTTAAAACAAATTAGAAACTTAAATTAGTACTTGTGACTAATCGCCCTGACGTGGAATTACGTTCCGAGATAACGAGATATTTGAGAAAAAGCCGGTGTAAAAAAGTTAGAAAAATTCCTGTTGTGATAATAAACAATTTTCGCCCTCAATTAAAATTGTTTATTATCACAACAGGAATTTTTCTAACTTTTTTACACCGGCTTTGTCTCAAATATCTCAAATATGTTGTCTCGGAACGTAATTCCACCTCAAGGCGATTAGTAATTACAATAATTTAATTATTTGCCGTTTTGAGTGGTTTCTTTGGGTTTTAAATTCTCAAAAAATTATAAACTGTCTGGGAAAAACGGAGGAAGACAATGAAATAAAAGCCTTGAAGCTTAAATTTTGTAAAATATGTAAGTAAAATTGCCACATTTCTAAGCTGTAATTTGTCTTCAGGCAAAACAAGGGTTGGTTTTTATCATTCTTAATTCTCACTCGTCCAAGACGTTCGTGTTTTGCACCTGCTGAATAAAACATCGCGCAATTCGGAAGGCGCGTTTCCTCTCCGCGGGGGGCTATAAATAGGTGCTAATTCCACTCGAACCCATTCATGGAACGGAAAATTCACGCCCGCCGCTTTTCCATCAGCCGTCAAGGCCGTGCGCTATTTATGATCTGTTCCTCCTTTTATTGCCACAATCAGCAAATGGGCAGTAAAACATCACGGAAACGCGACGTTAATGGAAACTCCTTTTTTCCCTCTTATTACTCATTCGTGTTCACCGTTTCCTTATTTTTATATGAAAAATATCGTTGAAAAGAAGTTTCACAGGAGAAAGACTCAATCAATCCAATAAATTGATAAAACTTTCTTTCTTTCTCCGAGCGCAAGTGGTGTTTTCAACACTGAGTACTTTTCCACGTGCTTAGTTGTTTGTGGTGCGGTCACGCGACAGACGTACGATGAAAAGAAAGAGCTTTTCTATAGATTTCGCCCTTGACACCCTCTCAGAATTAACACATGTAATGGCAAAATTGGTGCTCACTTCTTTGATGGCGGGTTCGCTGATGACCTGGACGCTGCTGATGGCGCCACGTGGCCTCGCCTTCCACACCGAATTATTTTGATTTGGTGCCGGCGACATTGTGATGGGCTGCGAACACAGTTTTTTTATGTTTTCGATACAGCAAAATCGCTAATCGACCCTTTTGTTCGACGAGAAGCATGCAAAGAAGGAAGGTTAGGGAATAAAAAGTGAGATAATTTTCTCGTACCTTGAATGACCTGACGATCGGAGATAAAGCTTCAAAAGACTCGTAACATGCACCTGGCCCTCTCGTAGTGCTGCCAAACACATGTGTTTGCGAATGAGAGCGACTGAAACAAAACAAAATTAAAACCGTAACAAGTAATTTCGATTTTATTTGCTGTTACAATTCCTCACTTTGTCATTTTGATAAAAAAAAATGAGTTTAAATAAGAAAAAGGGATATTTTTACTAAAATATATTATTTAACCAAAATTTTATTCTCAGATATGTCGGTTTGGTCACCAAAATTGAGTTAATAATACCGAATTCCATACAAGATTAAAATTTATGGAAATTTGAAAATCTTCCCATGAGACAAAAATTACTTTTTAAAGGCTAGTTTTCTTTTTTTTTAAGAACTGCATTTAGTTTGAAAATTAGTCTCTAAAGAAATGAAAAATTTTGTGGTTGAATTTCACGATCGAGGGTTGATTCAAGGTGATTTGATGCAATCCCAAAACATATCATTTACCCGAAAAACCAACCGAAAAATAATTTAGTCTTCTCTCGACCACCGCCAAGAAAGGTACGCTCAAAACACACGTTTAAATATTCTGACCAAATTTATTGTAAGAAAATTTATGTTTTTTGAAAATATTTTAGAATTAAATGTCAAATTTTGTGTTAAAAATTATTTTCTGAAGAAATGTTAGTTTAGATAATTTTTCACGGAAAATTGTCAATTTGAAAGAAAAATCATTTTTGAAAAAAGATTTATTTTTGTACTAATTTTTGTCAAAATGTTTTCACAGCTCACGAAATTATGGCTGCAGCCGAAACATGTAGAGCAGGATATTGTTTTTCTGAAACAATAAACAACTCACAAAAACCCATCGAGGAAAAGCCGATTTTCAATTCAAATCACCACCACAAATGAAAAATTATTTTACATCCAAAAAGTAAGGTGACTGAAATTTTTTATGAGTCTTTCTAAGTGAATTATACGTAGACCATAAATGCGATAGGTTGGACAGTAAAATCCATACAGAGCTGCATGAAAATGCAAATTTGTCTGATGAGAATTTCAATTTCCCCGAGCTGCGTGCTACAACAATATCGCCACCAACCCTCTTATACACTTTTCTCAACGTGTGGATAAACCTGCTTTATCAGTTTAAAAATTCTCCTATGAATAATTCATCTAAATGTGGAGCTAATAGAACTTCTGAAATGATTTTGAGTCTAAGCAGTGTGAATAATTTACTAAAATCACGATGAATTGATAAAAATGACATGTAAATGAGGGGAAAACGTGATTATTTTGCTAATATTGTATGCAACTGTGTGATGCACTTTCGCTGCAGAAGACCCTGAAAATAAACAATCGCGCGCGTGCAGTAAATAGGATTAATTAGGTTTTTATTTTATGCTAAAAGCTTAAACGAAGAAGTTACAGGAATAATTCTGCACGTGTGTTTGTTTCACGCGTTGCAAAGCAGCAGTGGATATGTTTGCCGCATTGCTCGAGTTTTAATTAAATTATATACGGCGTTAGCGGCACCCACCATACACGAGAACTAATTAGAATAGTTTTGACTAGTATGTCTAATGAACGCTGCGGTTGCTGGGTCATGAGCACACAGAATGATATTGCCACGTAATTAGAGAAAACGTTGATGTTCTAGAAATTAAATTAAATCAACAATTAAAGTAAAACACTGATAATTTTCATGAATTATGATAATCTTTAATGAAGAAAAATCTTTGAAATTGTTAAACGTGTATCAATTTATTTTCCATTATTTAAATATATGCATTGAAAAAAATTATGAATAAAAAAAAATTATAACTTCAGATATAGAGAGATTAACGAATTGAAATTGACTTGAATTTTGTTTACATATTTTGTGCATATCTATTAATTTTAACACTTTCTTCGTTCATTTCTTAACTTCTGTCTATTTAAACAAAAATATATTAAAAGTGTTTTAATTACTTTAAATTATTCTCAGCTTGAAGTTGATTTCAAGAAATCGTTTAGTAAATTCTCTCTCCCGTCAAAATCTGTTTATTTCTGGCCCCTTATTGTTATTGCCGGACACACACGTCAAAGCCGGTGTGGCGTGATCGCGGACTGTTCTCTCTGCCAGGTGCAAATTAAATAAGTAGCCAGATTTTCTAAAGCTCTAATTGGGCAAAATATCTGTTGATCTTTTTCATCAGCCGTACTTTTCCATTCGCACTTCCGCCCGCCCCTTGGTAACTAAATGATGTGTGATTTGGGAATCGCATTAATATTTAATTTGTTTCAAGATAGAAATTATTTCCATTATAAAAATATCTTAAAAATTCCTGAATGTGCCTTCTGGTTATTTCAATTTGCATCGACTGTTTTTCCCACGGCTCGGGAAAAAGAAATATTTTTGCCAAACTTTTTCAGCGTTGGCGTGATAAAAAGAAATTCTCTTAACTCTTGATGGCCAAATTCTTTTCGTGGCGTCTTCAGATATGGAAAAATGAATTCTGCAGTGTTACTGTGACACCTGTCATAAGTCATAATCACGCAAACGTTTTTCTTTCTTTGGAAAAATATGAATAAAGGAATACAAAGAAGCAAAAAGTGATCAAATAACAATACAAACTTCTCAATAGCTTAATTTTTTTTTAATTATTCCACTTTTTTAAATCTTTCTGTAATTATCGAGAGAAAAAAGCAAACACAGAGCGTGGAGAGTATTATTGATAATTATAATTTACAAAACTACAAACCCAATCGAAAAAATATATTGTATCTATTTATTTTAATTTGATTTTAAAAAATATTTAAAAGTAAATCCAACAATTTCTGTATTTTATATTAATATCAAAATAAAAAATACCACGTTGAATGTTTTAAATTAAAAATTTTCAATTATTAAAATATTATTAATAATTTTTTAAGTAAATTATAATTAAAAAGTTTTTAATTTAATGTAAAATGTATTTTAAATATTAAGTTTATATTTTTTATAAAGAATTAATACTAACTACAAATATTTTTCACTTTTGATTGCCAGTAATTATTATGTAGATTTCTGAAGGCAACGCGTTAAATATCTAAAGAGGTTCAAACTTTTTTGTTACAATTTTAATTTTTTCTTTTTTATATTCTTTAATTAGTTTGTAAAAATGAACAAAACAATAAAATTTAAATTTTGATTAACAATATTAGTAAAACAAATTCACAAGCAACGCTTTTAAATTAATTCTGACATGGCAAATTTCACCTGAAAGAGTGAATTATTCTTAATGTTACCGAAAGGGCGGTCGAGACTGCGTGGTGCTGCGAGCCACGCTGACGACTTTGAGTTCGTTCGGCAGAAGAGGCCGTCGTTCGGCCGCCGGTCTGATGATGACGAGACGATGAACTCGCGGCCTGCTGGGGTGTCGACGTGACTTTCATCTGGTGCCAAAGACCACGCGCGAGGGATCGAAGTTTGTTCTTCCCTCCAGAGGTGGTGGAAAACACGATTCGCTGCGGAGAAAACGCTTACGTTCGTCAGCCACGAGCGACTCTCGCGTGTGCCCAATTTGTTTCGCCACACACATGTGAGAGGAACGAAAAGTTGCCCTGCTGGCGTGAGCACCAAGAACCACCCCTAGCAGGCGCGCGCGCACTCTTTACCACCCCAAATTTCCTGCAATGCAAAATACTATACCGAAAAAAAATCCACAGATAAAAAGTAACTAACGCTTGGCGAAACCTGTTCTTAGCTCGTGAAAAATGTTTCGAATTGTTTATATTAGTGGAAAACAATTAATATTTAGTCGCAAGTTTTTATTTTTAAGCATTGGCAAATTTATCGGAAAATATGTCTTTTGTAAAATAATGATGAATTTTGTTTGAATTTCATACAATATGTAATTTTCTGCACTTTAAAAGATTAAAAAAACGATTCAAATTAAATTAATTTGGTTTCAATATGATAAAATTACAAAACAAACTTTCTTCAAGTTTAAATTCAAAGACTTTTTGTTTATTCTGGCATCATTATATTATAATGTAATCTTCATTTGTCTTTTTTTGTTAAATACAAATCAAATATGGAATTTTAAATACATGGTTCATTATTAATTCAACTCCAGCTTACAAAGACTTAATAGTTCAGGGAATTTTTGTTTAACTTTCGCGATCAATTTGGAAGCTCTCGGATTCTGAAAATGCACCGTTGGAAATCAAAAGTGCTGTCGGTTTTGATTCCACAAAATACAACTTTTGCGCCAAATATGCAGACCCATCAGAATTTCCTCGAGAACTCGTCTAAAAATTCAGTACTGATGAAAAAGATGAACAGCAAATTGTTCTCAAATTTCCGGAGTGTACATTGAGTAAGAAGGATTTACTTGTGGAAACTTCTTTTTTGTTAAGCAACGATTGTTCCTCTCTCTCTTTATGTCGATAAAATATAGATGGTCTACATATTTTACAATTAATTAACATGACTTGTTATAACAATTCAAAAATATATGATACACTTAGGCAACAAATTATCGTTAGGGCTTGTCTTACTTGATTATAAAAATGGTAATTTTTACACGTTAGAGTTTTTATGTTCATCGTTATTTTTATACCTTTTCGCGTTCATTACAGGGAAAGCTTTTAGTTGATTATAATTCCTGAATGTCCATTTAGTTTAGTAAATCATCAGTTAATGGCAACCAAAGACAAAAGTCCAACACAAAAAATGCACAAAATCTTTGGTTAATACTTTTTAAATAGCGCTCATTTGGACTAGGAGTAATATAATTTATTATTTTACAATTTTTGGATTCTGCGAATAAGTTTCTCTTTCTTTCAACAGGAAGACTACTCATTTATAAAAAGAGTTACTCACTTGGTATCGAAGTGACAGAAGACGGGGCAGAATCGGGAATGAGCGCCGCTGATCGATGGGCTCTTTCACAGTTGCTAACTGACAAACAGCATTGTGGACACTACTGATTACATGAAATAAGACTCGAAAACAGCTCGCTCATTCAAAATTCAATCTGCTTAACACTTCAGGTATAATTTCAATGGTGACAGCACCAAATTTTAAGCGCTCAAGGTTTTGAAAAATAGCAACAGGAAAATAGAGTCAACACATAGTGCTCGGAATCCAATTTACAGGAATTGATCCAATCTATTTTCTTACAGTTTTCTTCGAATTTCCTATAGATTGAACAAAAAAAGTTTGATACCACCAGTTTACAAAATATATTCATAAATTTGCTGATTTTTATTCACACATGGCTCTAAAGGTCATTTATGTTTTGCTGCACCAGCGGCAGGTGCTTTTTTCAACTACTTTTTAATTATTTTCCACAATTATTGATGCTCTCCTTGAGGATGGACTTTACATTTTATCAATCTGATACACCAGAGACTCAAAAGTGAAGAAGCCCTATACAAAAAATTAAAGCGAACCGATTACAGGTTGTAAACAAAAACAGTCTAGTTTAAAGCCAAGAGAAAAAGCACTTGGACACTTGCTTTGGATTAATGGAGGATCAAAGTCACGCCATGATTTGCTTCCAGTGGCAGTGATGCAATTCGGTTGAGATCAACAGTCTGGAGGAGAAAGGAAATGAAAATAGGGAAGGAAGTCAAAAATAAATTAACTACCTCTACTGCACCCAGCTCGCAGGCACCCACAGGGGCTCTGTTTCTAGCGTCTGGACTGCACGCACCATTTGTTCGAAGGCTACAGAAAGGTCGGCGTTTTCGATGACTTCGTCAAACCAATGTCCGTACAGGAATTCAATCCTAGCTGCACTGCGCTCGATTTCTTCAAATTCTTCGTCCTGATAAAATAAATTATCCTTGTTAAAGCATAATCAAATTCGTGTCCATTAATTTTACCGTGAATCCTCTCGAATTTGCTTCGTCGAACGTTGACCTGGCGTATGCTTCGTGTCTCGTTTCTTTGAGAACATCGAATGAAGGTGGTTTAATATAAACCACAAACGGTTTGATCTCGGCAGTTCTCAACATCTTGAGAGCCTATAATTCAGATTTTAATTAGTAAAAACTGGTTGTTTTAAAAAATGACGTAAAATATACCTGATAATGAGGGTTCAGTATGCAAACGTAGCCAGCATTTATTATAGATTTGACACTATCTGCGGAAGTACCATAAAGATTGCCTTTGTATTCACCGTGCTCGAGGAATTTCCCCGCAGCAATATCTTCTTCCATTTTTTCTCGACTCACAAAGTAGTATTCTTTACCATTGATTTCTCCATGTTTGATTGGTCTGGTTGTAACTGGAATTAAATTTAAAGCAATTAAGTAAAATTTATTTGATGTTTTTCAAATTGCGTTTCATACATGGTATGGTAGTTTTGAATTTTTCAGGATCGAGGGCCATGAGTCTCCGTTTCAACTCGTTGCGGCCAATCCCAGGCGGCCCGACAAGAACGACCGGCCTATGCAGCCCCGGTCTGGGGTACAGTTTTGCGACCTCTTCGTAAGTGGCGATTTCTTCCCGGTCAAAGTCGTCGTTCTCTGCAGTTGCATACATTATCTTTTTAGTTCTGGGTTTTGAGGCACACCTTGGGGATTTTGGGGACTGACATCCTGGCAGGACTGAAAGAGAACACAGACCTGTGGAAGAAAATTTAGTACATTGTAAATTAGTCTGTCTCTGTCTCGGCGCTCGGGTTTGCTGTCTGTCCAACTTCCTTTCTCATTTAGTCTAGAAGAAAGCAGACCTTTTAGCAACGGGATTCACAAAGAATAATATATTCCCAAAGGTGAGAGATAGATCAAAAAACGCATGCGATTCTGTGCAGTGAGGGTGAGGAATGTATCACTTTTTGAAAAAAGACAAAATGTATAAAAAATGTGCGATGTGTCAATGGAATGCTGGAAATTCTTTGATTCGATTTTCTGTGAGTTTTGTGTTGTCTGTAATCAGTATCATGGCCCAGAAAAGCTGTGATTTTATGGTGTTTAGACAATAATTAAAATAATGTATCTTGATGAATAATGATATTTTTGATCAAATGACAATCTCGTGTGCTATATACGTATAATCTTGAGAGAAGAAGAGTCAGGAGGAAACATTCCACAAATTCATTAAGCTTTGTGTTGTAATGCTGCAGAGCACCTCAGCTTCAAAGATCAAATAATTTACTTCAGGCACAAGTTGTGTCCCATTGACTGGGCTGGACAAAAAAAAAAACAAGTTCGCCCTGACATTAGTTAAGTGATAATATTTGTAAAAAAAGCTACTGTGGAGTAAATAAACAAAAATTACACTTTGGCAAAAAGCAGTTTTGATTCATTTACTGAGACTGCAACTTGCCTGGCTGTTTATGATTTTTATACACACACAAGTATAGGACATGCTGAAACTGCAACTGCTGAAATCAGAGCAGAAGTTTTTGCTAAAAAGGGGCAGGCTGAAGGGGCACCACCACCACACCATTATATGCTCTCAAAAATTGACTCATCAGATAAAATAATCGTTAGTCAGGAACATCTAGACGAGTGCTCGAAACTCCACTTACCAATGTTGGCAACATCGATTCCTTTTGAGGATCTCTCGTGGACGATTCTCTTTTCTTGAAGCGCTCTGCTCGGAATCAAACCGGCTCGCATGTTGCGGTCATTTTCTTTTCGAGCTTGCCACCTGTTAAAAAGAAAAAATCTTAACATTTTATATTTAACATTTCTTTTTTAGGTGACAGTACCAATAAGCATCATCCTGGCTGACAATGTGTAAAATATCTCCTTTATCAAAATCCAGGCCTGCTTCTTTGCAGGGGATGTAAGGGTCGGTGGCAGCTCTGTAGTCAAAGTGAGCCCGGACCCTGACCTTGCTCTCCCGTAAGTTGCCTTTGGCGTCTGCAGGAACCAGTTTAAATGTGATTGTACCTTCGGAATTTTGCTAAACAAATACAAAAGTCAGATTTAGAATTAATTCCATGATTCCCACAAACCAATATTTGGAGGACGTCATTCGGAGTTTTTCCCTCTGTGCTCATGTTGTTGACCTCGATGACCTCGTCGCCAACGTGGATCAAACCGGAGCGGTCCGCTGCTCCGCCATGCATGATTCTCGCAATCACAATCTTGCCAGTTTCCTCGTCCGTCTTAATCGTGGCACCCTAAAATTCCAATAAGTTGAGCAAATTTGTTCGAAGATTAAGTTTAGCACAAAAAAGGAAAAAAAAATTAAAAACAGTCAAAGCCAAAGGTGCAACAGATGTTCTTGTTGAGCTGCTTAAAAAATCAAACAGAAACTCGGCTGAGAGATGGTCTATGAAGACAACAGGAAGAAAGAGGTGCGGATCACAAAGAAAAGAAGCGGAAACTTCCTAAGAAAATTGCTCTAACATCACATCCGTCTATTATTGGATTCCTTCCAGACATGCCAACAAAAAGGTGCTTGCTTTATTCTGCTAGCACTTACCACGATTGGCTCGGCGCTTTTAGCGCCCTCCTGAGCAAAAGCAAAGATCAAATTTTATTTACATAAAAATTTAACCGTATTGCATTATCTTATTGAAATATCAATTGCACAGCAATGTTTAAGGTTAAAAATCGACTAACCAGTGGTTCGTTGCTCTTCACGAGTTGAACTATCTTTATCGTTTCCTCTTCCTCGTCAATGTCGAACGGCACTTCAGGTAGAATAGGATAGTAATCTTTCTGTGCAATGCAATCATGAGCATACAGCAGACCCTGGAAACGGCAAAAGTTTTTTACTCATGGAAATTTATAAATAAGTTTAATTTATTTGTACCTGTACATGTGGTGTTTGGAGCAAAGTGAGCAACTCTTGGCTGTTCTGCCGGCTGTCCCAAGACTTCTTGGGCTGCTCAATCAGGGGCAGCACGTCGGCGAGCGCCTCGAGGGCCGCCTGCACAGAGCTGTTGACGACGGGAATGAAACGGCCGTCCCTGCTGTTGGTGCTGGCCAACACCTTGTTGTGGATGTGCACGAGGGAGTGCAGCTCCGGCTTCTGCAGCAGCTCACTCAGGAAGGCAAACTCCTCGGTGCACGGAAGGTCATCACGAGATTCTTCAAGGGTGACCAGCAAACTTGATAATGCTGCAGCAGAACAAATAATTAGTTTTGACAAAAATTCAATAAAAATATTTATATAGATCTGTTTTATGAAATCAAAGAGTACAAATTAAAATCAGATCAATAAGCGTATTTTATTGAAAATCTTATAGTCATGACAGTATTTAGAGCAAATCAATAGCGAATACTGGCCATGAAAATTTAATGATCGTATTCTGTTTTTACCTGGGTCCCAATTCCTGTTCTCCATGACGAGGGCCGAGCTCATCTATCCCACAAATAATTCACTAGCCAGCCTTTGGGGCAGGGCTGAAAAAACACATACATGAGTAAAAAGAAGCCAAACAATTGCTGACAAAAAAAAGAGTCGGCAGTGGAAGTTCTTTGATCACCGAGGGTACAATAATTGCTCAAAAAAAATTACAGTGGGTGAAAGCAGGGAAATATTTACTCTATCTCTTCTTTTATTACTTTCACAATACAAAATAAAAAATAATCAAAAAAATATTATTAATAAATCTCAGAATTCAATTTTGATTTTATCGGATTTTAATACATTGACTGTAAAATCAATTTTTAAAGAATTGTAGCAAAAATAACACTTTATTTGCAAATTATGTTCAGTCTGCAGACCAAAAAAACAAATAACAACCCCCTGATAAGTGACAGGACTCGCGAGCCGATGAAACGTTGTTATTGATTGGTCTTTTTTCTCGTTCAAAGTGACTCGATTGGCACGAACGCTCGCCATTCTCTCGCAGCGAACTTCCGGTTAACCTTTGAGGAGTGTTAGAATTTAATAAAAGAGGCCTTTTCTCCACAAACTGGCCGTGAATAATGGAAAAGGCTCAATACTGCAGTATTTTTATGGTCACTTAACCAAGGGTGAAATTCGCCCATCAAAACAGACCGACCTGGGCACGTGCGAGCCGCTGGAACGAGTGAAATTCGGGCGAAAAAGTGATAAAAGCACATTCCGAGAATAAAACTCACCCAGTTTTAGGTTCTTCGATGCAGAAATCCGCGATTAATCAGCAATTTGCGGAGCGCACCCCAAAATTTGACACTAGGGTTGCCATTTTTATTTTCAACGTGCGCGACATCTGTGAGTTGAGGCAGGAACCACCACCAAGGCCGAGGTACCCCACCTGGCCCATGGGCGGCTCGTGCACCAGGTTTTGCAAAATTTATCCAGATTTTCATGCAAATAATTTTAATTATTTTATCAAAATAAATTTAATCGGTAAAATGCTTAAAATTAGGGCAGAAATTTTTGTCGCAAGATCTCTTCTTTTCATTGAACATTATTTATTTTCATTTTAATTCATTTAATTTCTATTAATGAACTATCAATTAAATGATTATTAAAATACATTTAAAATTGCACTATCCAATTAAAATTGCAAAATAAATTACTTAGAGAATAAAAGAATCCATATTTTTCAAGGGTTAGAAAAAAGTTTAATTTTTTTTTGCCTTTAAAAAACATTTAAATATTATTAATCTTCCGATTCCTCCTCATCACAGTCATCAAGATCAGAGTCAAAGTCATCATCACTGAAGTCTTCGTCGTCCTCTTTATTCGCCGCCAATTTCAGCTCATTTAATTTTGCCTCTAAATCGTCCTTAACATGCTCATGTTTCTTGTCCGGTTCGTCCGATATTTCTAAAATAAAAAACATTCATTTAAAAAAGACCAATAAAACAGCAAAAAATCTATAAAACTTAAAAAAAATAAATAATACCTTTCTTCTTATTGGCCAAGTATCGGAGAAAAGTTCTCCGTTTCCTCTCAGGCAGGGTTTTCAAGAGCTGCTGCATCTCGTTGTCCAGCTTGGTCTGGTCCTCCTCAACCTCTTCGATTGCAGTCTTCTTGCCGCACTTGGGACACATCTTGGCCTCTCTGGCGCAGGGAATGCAGTAGGTGTGGTACGAGTGCTTGACGGTCTTTTCCAGGCACTTTGGACACTTGGCCGGGGCCGTCAGCGGCTTGTACTTCTTGTACTTGATCTTCCACTCGATGACGCCCTTGCAGTGCTCGCACACGTTCACCACCTGCAGCCTGTTGATCTGCAGGTTCTTGGGCGTTTTGTCGTACTTGTCGTTCTTGAAGACCGACGTGTTTTTGTACTTTTGAGCTCGCGTTCGAGACCCGTTTCCTCGCTGCGTACTCATGACGGAAGTTTGCTCGTTTTCAGGATATTTCTCTGTAAATAGTGAAATTATTCACATTAGCTAAGAAATTTTAATCTAGTTTACGTTGCTTGAAAGGAAAAATATGAAGAATGAGAATGCAAAAGAATATCAAAAGGCCGAGGACGGAAATAAAAATTTTTAAGCACTGATTTTTCACAAAGGAAATCATTGAAATTGTGATTTTAATGCCTTAATTTTTTACAAAACATGTTCTGCGTCATTAAAAAAACACTTACCGGGGAATTTACTTGAAGATTGTACGGAAAATGTAGATTTTCTTCACGTGGAAATAAACACATGTGTTTTTATTTACATTTGGAAAGTTTGGAGTTCTCCGATCCGATTGGTCAGTTTCCTCAGAACTCCATCGATCGAGTTGCATTCAAAATTTGGCGCCAACGGCACGAGATATAGAAGCTCGGAGCTTATTTGTAACAACTTTTCCAACTTTTATTATTTTGTTGTTTTCTTTCCAAATAGTTACATCAAATTATTTACATTCAATTGTTTAAAACAAATTCATATTGTTATAGAAAACCATTGTTGAAGTGTCGGTTTTAACTTGCATGATTCAAATTTCGTAAGAGATGAACGAGGAACTGATTCTGCAGAAGCGTTCCGAGGGCATGCGGCTCATGATTGAGTCCAAACTTGACGACTTGGTGGCCCTTTCGGAAATTATAGCCACAGAGGCATAAATTTCAATTATTTTATTAAATCTTTACAAAAAAAAATTCTTTCAGGTTATTAGATTCAAACCTGGCCCTGACTGCTACACATTCATTCAGCGCTTGTTGGAAGCCATGATCAGGACTGAAGAAGCCATCAGTATTCCTTTTTTTTATTGATTTTTAATTTGTAAATTATCATCTTCAGAGGCCTCTCCTAAAAATGAAGGAGGCCAGGGAAACGAGGCCAGAGTTTCCAGCTCAATCAAACCTCACATTTTGGACTACTACATGAAGGAGAGTCTGGATAATTACTTCAGGAGTGGCCTCAAGAAAGTAATTGATCGGATTTTATTTATTATTTTTATTTTAGTTCAAGATAATCTTGCCCGCCTGTAACCTTTATTTTTATTATAGAAGACCACTATTTTTTTATTTCTTATTTTTTATATATTTATTTTGATTAATTTGCTGAGAAATTTAAGCATTGCTTATTTATTATAATAAATTATTTTCTAGCATTCTTTAAAATGGATGAAATTTTTTATTTAAATAATTTTTTTTATTCGCAGCCGCTTCCGAAAATTCCGGGATGTGACGGTTGCCTCGATGTTGCTGAGGAGGACGCAAAGAGTTTGGCGCCAAATGGCGAACGTCGTCGTTGCAACACGGTCGACGACGTTTTCAGCCACCGTGCCTCTTCACTCGCTGACCTCAGTGACCTTCCTTGGGAACATCGCCAGACCTGGCACTCTCTGGTCCTCCACAAGAGCTTATCTTCACATGAACTTCGTGAACCACAACCAAACGATGACAACGACAAAGGGTCCCAGGTCGACGTTGAGGAGCTGACCGTCCATCCCTTGTATTTGTCTCCGATCGCGGAGAGTTCGGACGAGGATGAGGTTTCGGCCCCGCGGCTCGGTGTTGATTCCGATGTTCCTGCGGCTCCTCCTTCGTCTCCAAGACCTGAGGACAATGCAGCAGAAAATTGATTTCAACCAAATTTGGCAAATTAGATAATAATCTAACAACAAGTTTGAGGGCTGCGTTTCATTTTTATTTTGAAAATTAAACAAACAAAAAGTTAAGAACTTTAAGAATTATTATAAATATTTTTTTAATAAATTATTTAAACATAAGAGCAATATACATTAAAAGAATATTTTAAATCAAACGGGAAATAGATATTTTGGAGATTTTCACGATGAAACCAAACACGATGCTGATTTCACGTTCTATAATTAAAATATAGTCAGACTAGTCAAGTGCCATACAAAAGATGGTACAAAAAAGTCACTAAAATAACTACATTGAATGTGTTTTACTTACTGAACATTATTTTTTTTTTAAATAATTAATTAGCATAATTGATTAACTGTCATCGGCATTTGACTAATTTAGTTTTGGGCAACAAATATTCAGGTAATTTGGAGTAAAATCAATTATGTTGTTTTATGCTTTTTATTTCAAATGTTATTTTGAATTTAATAAAAACAAAACATGAATATTATGCGTTAATTGCTTTTAACAATCAAAACTTCAACAAATTAGACAAAGTGCGTTTCATATTCTAAATTTTTCAATCTGTACTTTTTAAGTGCATAATTTATACTAACTGAATTTCGATTTTAGTAAAATAATGTATAATAATATCCTTTTTTTAAATATGAGAGAAAATGGGCATACAATAAGAGATTTGTGATTCAAATAAAGAGGTAATTCTTCTTAAAAAATTATTTTAAAATCAAGATCAGCTTGCTTCTCAATTATTATTATTATCATATCTTTTTTTTGACAATATCTTCATTGAAAGTCTCCTAATGTGGCCAAAAAGGCAAGGTTAAATTGTGTGAAGTTGTGTAAATAACAAAAGCGCGGCGATTAAAGTTAATTAAGGGAGCGCGTATAATTGGCCATAAGAGGTGGTCAAACAAAGAGTGGACGGATGCACATTTCACCCTGCCGACCGGCGCACACACCCCGACCCTTGACCTTAATTTATAACCGTGGCGGCAAACACACACGTAAGTAATAGTTATACGTGCAGTGCACGCAGACTGCCGCTGATTATTTATTGCGTTATTCGCCTCTGAAATTGTTTAATTAATAGTTAGGGTGATATCAAAATGCGACCATAAATTCTCTCCTTCTGTGTAATTTGCCACAAACAAGAATGACTCTCTCTCGGTGGTGGGAATGTATATTTTTTCCTTATGCCTATAATTATCGAGTGCGCCACACAAATATACTTTTTACTCTGATGCTCGCGCGCAGGCCGTTTCACAAAAGGTAAAGGAAAAATTGCTAGGTTCATTTTTTTCACGTATCGAGTAAATCATATTTGTTTCTAATTATAATGTGCGAAATTATACGACGTTGCGATTGTGAAAATTTATTGCGAATTGTTGCGAATTTAATCGGTTCTTGTGTCTACGTTTTGTAAAATCTGTGCATTGACGCAGCTTGTTTCTGACTTATTGAACTTACTGATCAGTTACTGATGAAGCTTTATTAAAATTCTTTCTACAGAAAACTGGTTAAAAAGTAAAAAAATAAATACCTAAGAAATACTCTAAAAAAAATATTAACATTTAATGTTGAAATTCTCAACTAAATCTCTTTTAAATTTAAATTATAATTAGAGTAGGATTTTGAAACAAAAAAATTAAATTTCCTGTAACAAAAAATTCAAACCAATTTTATATAAATTTTTTAGTATGAAAAAAAAATTTTGAAATACAATATTAAAAATAGTTTATTGTTTTATCTTAAATATTTTTTTTATTTCTCTTCGACTCTTCGTCAATAAATTTATGTACTCATATCATTAACAAGAGTCTGTATACTAATTGCACGTAACCATTTACAAAACAAAAATTTAGAGCATATAATTACTGATAATTAGTGTTTTCGTTGTCCCATGCGCGTTTCGTTTTTAAAATTGAGAAGGCACTCTGTTGCATGGCTAATGTTGCTGCTAAAACTTATCAAAAATACGACAAGCTGTAATACGGACAGGTAGTCGTTATAATTTTATATTTTTCGACTGCAGTGTTACTATTTTATTATACACAAAGACCACCGGTGTGGCGCAGAGAGAGATTGAAATGCACGATAATTCATTCATCGCTCATTCATATGGATATGACGCCGCGGTGAAATTGAGACTGCTGAATTAATTTTACGACAGTATGCCGTGATAAAATATAATATTAATATTATAAAATTTTTCCCAAACGACGCAACGCTGCGGCGCGTGATGGATATTTGTGTGTGTGTGTGCGGGTGTTTGTGCCGCACAATAAAAAGTGTTCAAAACCTCGTGTGAATATGAGATTATGTATTTTATATTTATGCCCCTCTCGCGCGCTCACAAAGTTTACAGAGAAGAGGGTAGCGCGAGCAGATTTTTTTTATTGTGTTTTTATTCGGCGCAGCTCAAAATGAAATTGGCAGTAAAAGAGAGCAGAAATTAAATAATTCACGCAGCTCTGCTTCCTTCCCGCTCTCTGACGAGAAAAATGCGCTAAAATTCTAATTTGGAAAACGCACGCATAGCTCTCATTTCATCGCGTAAAACGTACATATTTTAAAGGAAACACAGAGCAGACCAAAAAAGGTTAGAGAATAATAGTTTATTTTTTAAGAAAAAATACCATTCTTCTCCAGCAATTAAAAAACTGTTTTTAATGTGTTTTAAGAAGTTTCTTTAATTAAAAAACTTGAGATCTTGGCATAATTAATATTTGTTCAAAATAAATAAAGTTTATCTTTTTAAAGTTGATTTGTGTTTTTGATAAATTAAAAATTGAATTAAAAATTGTTGTATCATAAAGAGGTATTTATAAAAAATACTTGAAACATGTGAATAAAATTTTTAATTTTGAAAAATATCTTATTAAATGACTTATAATATAAAATGAGTGGTAATTTACAAGTCCATACACCGACATCTACGGCCGCACTGTTGGGGATTAAACATGTTTAAGTCCATATGGTGTAGTTTAGAAGTTTTTAATATTTGATGTGAATTTTGAAAAAACGTTGTTGGGAGATTATTATTTTAGTCTAATGTTAAAATTCATTGTAATTTAAGTAATTCTTTCCTAGCAAATAGGTTTTTATATATAATTTATTTGTAAATTACCGTAATTGTATAAAAATAATTAAAGATTTATTTTTTTAATCTAATATTTAATATTTTTATAAAGACTTCAGCGTTTATTGAAGAAAAGCATCATATGAAAAAAATATCTAATTTTGTATACGCAAGCGTTTTTTAAGGAAAAAAAATGTTATATATTTAGAAAAAAATTCAGTCTTGATACGATAATTTGTAAAATTGATTTTATAAGCAAATAAAATTCTTCTGCGTCACTATGCATCATATTTTTTTTCTTTTAATATTTACCCTTTTTTTGCCTGACTGAAATCTGACAGACACATGTTTTTTTTTTAATGCCGCACACTTTTGAGGTTTTATAGTGCAATGCGGGCTGCATATTTTACGCCACCTGTGAAAAACGGCATCATCGTCTCCATTAGGAATAAGAGGTGAGCTGCTGGAGGGCGGCATTCAAGAAGTGCACAAAACACACGTACACTTATACGACGTGCACGGCAATCTTGTGTAATTCCTTATTCATGCACATCATGCATAATACAGCATTAAGTATGTAGGTGTGTGTTTTGGCGGAGAGAGCGTCGTGAGCACGGCAC